TCTTGGGGAGAGGAGGAAATGAGGAAAATAAAAAAAAAAAAAAAGTGCAGCCTTACAGTTGTTGTAACACCAAAAAAAACCCCAAAAACCAACCCAGCAACCATCAGCAGAGCCTTTAATGTCACCGTCAGGACCGCACCGTCTGCAGCTGTTTTCAGTCCTGTGTGCATCCTCCTTTCTCAACTGCAGATGCTCCTGGTTCCTCTTCTTTGTCTCAGCGTTAGATAAGTCAAGTACATCTGAAGACACATGGACATCTCCATTCGATAGATCTTTTCCAAGTCTCCTCCTGGTCTGATTTTATTTGCTAAGGAGACTTACAGTTTCGTTGAGGTTGTGCTTGTCACACTTGGGTTCAAAGCTCCCACTTTTTGCATCAATGGCAAACTTCCATCCATGGGAGAAGGATTTGAACATTTTTGAATAACTGATTATTAGCTTCCACGTCTTGTGGTCACTGCAAGATCACTCGCGGAGGCATAATGTATATAAAATGTTAAATAAGCTGTGCATTGAATGGAGTGGAAAAGTTAGTTCAGCAGCTCAAGTACACTTGGAAGAAAGATGACCCTGACATCATTTCCAAGGAAGTTCAATGGAAGTTGCTCACTTTCAGTAAAAAGAATAAAAATAAATCTGTGTTTAAGTAGACTAGTAGATGAAATCTTCCACCCTCATATGCACGCACACAGTGGGGACATTGCTTCTATTCCTAGGCTGCAAATCATGTGTGTAAGTCTTGCCAAGCTGTTCAGGATGAGGATTGAGGAGGTTTAGGCACCACTTGCCTGTAAAGAGCCAACCTACCAGCATGTCCAAATGGTCTCTCCTAAATGAGGGTGGTGGAAGAAGGAAAGTAATGACAAAATCCTGGACCATGGCCCCTCCAAGGAAGCCTTAAGGTTGGACTTGAAAGCTCTTCTGGCTCCTTGTAGGCATTACATGGCTCCTGGCATAGTAGGTTGGGTGTGGTGTGGGTTCAAGCAGCTGCCTTGGACTTGTTTTCTCCAAAATCAGCATCCAAAGCCTTGTGGTTAGGATTGACATGTAGTTGTGTATTTGTATATTTGCATGAGCAAAGGTCAGGAACTGTCAGACCCTGGTAGCTTGTTTTATTTCTTATAATCAAAGGTAAGCTTAAGAAACAAAGTATTCAGTCGATTCAGTGACACTTGACACTTAAGAAACCCATGAACTAATGCAAAAGAGGCTCCCTGAGCTCCGTATTTTGGTCACAGAAATTTTATTATGGTATTAATGGTCAATTTGAGTCTATGGGAAAGATTGCTCAAGAAAGACTTGAGTATAACCAGCACCAGCCGCTGCGGGAAAACTGCCCTCTCCAGCCCTGCACCCTCCACTGGATTGTGGCTTTTTTCTGCCAGCCCAAAATAAATGTTTATACGGACAATGCTTCTTTGTTAAAAAAAGAAAAATCTCAATTTGTTTGTTTCTATTAAAAAAATAAATAGAAAAGGTCACATTTTTGTGTGGGTTTTTTTTTCCAATTGTCAGTGGGAATTGGTGATTTCAATTTACCCATGTCCTAAAACAGGAGCAGAAGTAGCTTCAGACACCATTTCACCAAAAAAAGAGGCAGGCTCAAAATTTTGCTGGTTGAAACCATTAAGAAAACAAATAACCCCACTCATCCCCATCGAAGGTGGAAAACTTTAGTGACAGGGTTTGTGACTGGAAAAGAGCCTGACCCTGCTGGTATTGCTGGACTGTTGAATGTCAGAGCAGACACAGCTGTTGTGTCTTAATTTGAAATAATCAGTAAAAGTGTCAGAATTTAATTACCTCAAGCTTTAGGAGTAAAGTAAATTAAAAAGCATGTGGAAAGGGGCAAGTTTTTGCAGGCTTGTTCCCCCTGGCTCTGCAGTGCACAGCGGGATGGTGCTGCTCACTTTCCCATTGGCAGCACAGGGAAAATGTGGCCTGACTTGAGAAATCAGAAGAAATAATGGGGAAAAAAAAATAAAAAAAAAAAAGTGAAACTTGATTTCTGCTAAGGAGCTGTGCAGGTGCTCTGTGTGTGTGCATATGTGGGGGGAGGCTTCAGCCCTGTATCAGAGTCCCTGTGAGCACGATACACACCGTTTCTAACTCTGCCTGCTTCTGCAGTTGAGATGTTAAAAAGATTTGATTTTTTTTTTTCAATATATAAAGGAAAAAAAAAAAAACAGTGGCAAAATCATGTTGAGAGGCTGATAAAAAAAAATCCTGAGGGGGCAAGTTGAGTTAGTTTGTCACCTGCTCCTGTCCTGGAAGCCAGCACCAGTCTCTCAGCATCACAGCATCCCAGTACTGTTCTGAAGTGCTTGTTGTTCAATAGGATGTTGTTTTTCTCCAGTGTAATGTTGTGATTGTTACCTGATAATGTTGCCAGGGACTTCACATTGTAAGAGGTGGTCCATCTTGTTTGATGTATTTGGCTAAAAAAACAGTGGTGTTTTTTTTTTGTTATTTAAACTCCTAGCAACTGTGACTACAGTAATGTGATGAGTAGCACATACAGCAAGGAGGCGAGGACAACAATAGCCTCCTTAAAAATGTCATCTGAACTTTTTTTAAAGAAAAAAACGTTAAAAATATTTTTAAAACATTTTACAACATTTTTTGTGTGTTCCAAAATGGAATATTTGTATTTGAAAAAAAAAAAATCCTGGAGTGTAATTTAATCCTAAAACCCTCTAACCTTTGTGTATATGGTAAATGTTTGTATTTTGCAGTTTCTGTTTTGCTTTTTAGATAAATAAAATGTATATGGATATTTTTAAGTCATCTTTGCTTTTTTAGATGAGTTTGTAATCACCTTATAACTGAAAATAAAATTTTCCTTTATAAACCAGCCATGCTCTCGGATGGTTTTTTTGGTGTTTGAGTAGCTCAGTTCTTCATTTAAACTTATTACTTGTTTTGGGGTGGTTGGTTTGTTTTTGGCAGCTCAGCCCCACGCAGCCACTCATCCCCTCAGCCAGCAGGGATGGGGAGAGAATCAAAAGGGTAAAAGTGCAAAAATTCGTGGGTTGGGATACAGACAGGTTAATAATTTTAAAAAAAGGGTTAAAAGAACCCACAACAAAGAACATCAAAGAGGTAAAAAACAAAGCCAAGAAAAACAAGTGATGCAAAAGCCATTTCTCACCTCTAACCAACCAGTGCCCAGCCCATGCATGACACCACTACCACGAGGGTTCAAATACATCAGGAAAGCACAATAGGAAGAAAAAAAAAACCCAACATTTATTTTCCTGGTGTATGGGACTGCTGATTTCAAGCTCGCTGATGACCTCTTCAGTCAAACAGATGGAGGTTAAACCAGAGAGGCCATTCCTTAAGTCCTGATTTGAGGTAGGGAAAGAAAAAAAACCCAACATGTAGGTGGCTACTACTTGTGAAAAGCAAAGCATTTGAATATCCATGCTGAGCCTCCAGCACCCCATGCCCATGATCAGCCCCACACCTGTATTTAGTTAGTGTTTTTTGGCTTGATTGGTTATTTTGCTGGGTGTGATTGAGGACTTTGTCAGGGATTTCTCCTCTCACTGGCACCACCTGCAACGCCTGGGCTGAGCAGCCTGATAGCAGCACAGACAGCAACTGCAGTGTGCCTCAGGTTAAAATAAATAAACAAGGAACTAAAAAAAGCCGCTGAGTGCCACGAGGTGCTGCTGAAGGGTTTCAACTACCTGCCATGGGCGGCCGTCACCTGCCCAAGGCTGCAGCTGCTTCCATCAGCTGAGGTCCACGGGATAAAAGGTGACATCAGCAGGAGGAAAAGTTGCCCACCAAGGCACATAGCAGGGGAGCAGCACTGTGTTAACCTTTTACCTGGTACACACCAAAACCCTGTGGGTCACGTTGCACGGGCACTGGTTCAACCTGACATCGCTCCAGTGCCTTGGTTGGCCAGGCCCTGGTGCCAAATGTGCGAAGGGCCTTGTTCTGAAGTCTTTACCCCAGGAAGGCAGCCAGAGATGGCAGATAATCTGTCAGATAAGGCTTGTTTACGTGGCAATGATTCCCCAGGTCTAACCAGGAGCATTTCCGTACCCTGCTCAGTCTCCGAAAATTCCTGCATTACCCACTTGGCCATGAAGGGTTGCCAAACCCAGCTCACCCTTTCCTTGCCAGTGAGCAGAGATTCCCTATGGCCTTATCCAGGGAGTATTCCAGCCTGTACTGCCCACACTGGGAGCATAGGGGCACCCCAAACCCCTTTGCAATAGCATAGGAAAGAAATTCTCAACATAGGGACACAAGTAACTATGTTCTGGATTCATGGCAATCACAGAATATTCTGAGTTGGAAGGGACCCACAAGGATCATCAAGTCCAATTCTTAAATGAATGGCCCATACAGGGATCAAACCCATGACTTTGGTGTTATTAGCACCATGCTCTAGTCATGTCTTTGGATGTCTAGTTTCAGGGGTGGAGTAATTTGACTACCACAGTACAGCTCCCCAAGGCACCCCACTGGAGCTGCAGGGTGCTGAGCATCAGATGGGACATCTCCTGCCAGCACATTGTCCTCCAGCAGTTTTCTAACCCATCCCCAGAGATTAACCACAGCTCTGCAAACACTGCCACGTCACAGCAACCATGTGCTTTGCTACATCAGTGTTTTGTCATGAAGTAGCTCAGCTTCAACCCAACAATATTTCCAGTGTGGAAAAGCTGCAAGCAGTGCTGTAAGCACGTGCATGTGCATCTCCAGCTCTTACTGCTACCAGCTACAGCAAAATTGCCTCCATGTGCACAGGGAGGGAAGCGACCCAAGTCCTGCAGCTGTGTGGTGACATGGGACAACCCCAGCCCTACACTGGTAGCCCTACAAACAGTGGCCTCCCAGAAAAACCCTCTGCATGTCCTCCCCTTGTCCTTCAAGGTCTCTCATAAATGGGGGTCCTCTGGCAAGTTAAAATGCTGTCGGGAAGCAGAGCGTTGCCTCACTATTGTCCTGCAGCAGAAAGAGACACGAACCAGAACAAATGCATTTCATTTGCTTTTATTTAATTAAAAAAAAAAAGTCAAAGTCATTGCAATCCCATTTAAATACAGAGATTTACAAATAGGTCCAAAACAGGACTAAAATATTCTTTGAAATGCTGTACTTTTAAATATTGTGCTTTCATAGATACATAAGAAAATTAGCATATAAAAATACTTTACAAGGAATACACTCTAATATATGGATAAAAATACACATTTAAGTAATGCATTTCATCTTCATATCATTCAAAATGCATAGGAAGGGATACAAGGACCAAGTTTTTCTTCCTCCTTTTTTTTTTTTTTTAAAGCCTTTAATAAAAGTCTTCATTAAAAACCTGTGAGAAGCCCCAGTGAGCTTCCACTGCTCAGAATATTGCATATAAAAACACTTTCGGCTGCACTGTCAATGCTCCACAGTATCAATTATGGCACATTATCTAGGTGTGGCAGCAATGGTATGGGATATTGCATACTCAAAGAGAAAATGGCTACGACGACAAATAGCTGGATGGGGCCGGGCACGTGTCTGGAAGAAACACCCTGATACGTTGTGCTATCACAGAGGGATGACAGGGACAGACAGTGGGGAGAGAAGTCCTGGCTCAGCAAAGCGACACACATGTGCTGTACACCCATCCAACAACCTATGGGCACCCCTCGAGGTGGTGATGGAGGAGCCAAAAGGGTGAGCAGGGAACGGGCGCAGTGGGCTCGGGGCTGCGGTGTCCGACTGACAGGCTCCTCCACTCCACTGTGCCCCAGCCTTCCCGGGGAAAGCGATGCCAGGATCACGCCACCACCAGGACACAAACATCATCATAAAGTGCTAATAGGTGGAACATGGCAGGCAGATGAGGGCACCAATGCAAACATCACAGCCCCTCTTCCAGGCGGGGCCGGGGGCTCTGGGGAGGGAGGGGAGCATCACGCTTGGAAAGCTACATGAGGCCAGCAACAGGCAAACACACACTGCCCAGCTCCCATGGGACACAGGGACACAACCTCCACCTAACAAAGGGCTTGTCATGCCACTGCCTGATGGGAGACAACAAGGTTTCATTAATTCAAAACATCAGGGGCAGCTCTGGGAATTTCGCTTTTCTGCTATTTACTTGCAGGCACAGGCCAGGTTTGCAAGCAAGAGATCTCCATAAAGCTCAGACAAACAAGGTGGCTGGGGATTTGAGCAGGTACTCAAGGCTTTTACCCTTGGGTACAGCCTCTACTCTGTATTAAGTACTGCAGCACAGGTAACCACATTGTTCATGGGAATCCATGCCAAGACAAGGTCCCTCATCCCACTGTGGGGCGAGCCAGGCCTGGGGGAGTGTGGACAGGGCTGTCAGGAGGCAGCTGCAAATACCAATTTTTGAACAAGAATTGAATCTAGCCACCCTCCAGCACATTTTGAAATGTCTTTTAGCCAGCGCTCTCCACTGCCCTGCACCGGGAGTGCAAGGGGCTGCAGGACTTGGTTTGTCAGGAGTGTCGGAAGGATGGAGATGGGCACAACATAAAAGGAAAGGCATTTCAGTCCTGCTGTATGCAATTAAGTGAGCAAACAAGGAACATAATAGCACCATGTGTGTTTATAGGATGGCCAAGGCCTTCAGGGCGAGGAGGATGTCAGAGGCAGGACCCTTCACACTCAATGGCTGGGGCACAGGGGGATGATCTGCCATGGGAGATGGCTGTGGATGCTCCTTCCTCCCGTCGGCAGCTCGTCCCATCGCCATCGCTGCCACAGCCCCCAGATGCACATCCAGCTCTGACCTTCCCAGCAATATTTGGCGGTCCACAGGCTCACTGAAGACCCACCTCCCCACTTGCAGGTTATGGTACACACAGCATTTACAAATACCAGTGCAAAAAACAGGAGAAACACCCCAAATACCACAACGGCTCAGCAGAGGCCCTGGGCAACGTCTGCTCTGCTCCAGACGCTCAGAGCGTCTGGACACTTGCCTTGACCTCGGCTCCGAGGGACACCTGCACCGGCAGCTCTCTGTTCCCCTCCGAGGGAGCGTTGGCGGCCAGTGCCAAGGGGTTTCGGCTAATCACCAGGTCCAGCTTATCTCCAGCCTCCGAAATCAAGGGAACGGCCAGACAGCAGTCAAAGTCTCTTGTTCGGATGCGATTTACCTGCGGGGATGGATTTAGGATGTGCCATGGGGAGGAACAAGAGAAAGATCACGTTTGTTAGTCAGAAAATATAAAGATTAGTGCTAAACCCACACCCGGGAAAACACACAACGCTTGGGGGTCCCCGATTCCAGGTTCAGAATGGAGCAGAGCAGAGGCACCCCTTCAGACTGAGCATCCTTGCTTAGCTGAGGAATGATGCAGAGGAAGGGGGAAAAAAAGTCTGGATCAGGCATGACCCCTGAACCCCAGTGCCTGGGGCAGTAGTACAAGTATCAAACACTGCAGGGCTCAAAAACAGTTCTCCAGTTCAAGCCTGTAGAAAAAAGGTTGCCGTTTTCCATGCTTATTTTTGCCATCATGGCTTTTACTGGCCCTAAATTTGTGGTGCTGAGTATTCAGCACCTAGAAAACAAATAAAGCCATGAGGCTTCTGGCAACCATTTGCCAGCTCAAACAGCAATAAACTGAGACTATACTGAAGAGTTTCTGCTTTTCCTCTCCCCATTTACATTCTTCATTTCACAGGAATCTGGATGCGTTTCATGTGGGCTCAAGAGGCAGCTGCAAATTCTCCCCATAGGATTCAACAGTGAAAGCAGGTACTGCTGGCTCTTGCAGGCCTTCAAGTACAGTTCTGGGCTGGGTCATCTGCAGAAACAACCCCTGCTCTCTTGCCTACAGCTCACAGAACACCTGGGCTTGGTGGCACGAGAGCTCTGGGATGGAGCAGGCTGGCAAATAGCAGGGGAAGGGAAGCAGAGAAAGGGGAAAGGGATTTCCCACCCACCTTTGGAGTGAACATAACCCTTTGGTCCAGGTGTTCCTTCCTTCTCTGGATAAGGGCTTGATGAGTCCATACAACCCTTCCATTCCAAACCCTTTCCCAGAATTAATGCATGCCCACATAGCTGGGCTCTCTAATGGTAGTGATGTCCTTCTGTGTCCACACATTTGACCCCAATACTGCTCCTTACAGTGTAGTAACAAGGGACAATTTCTAGCCAACTCATGGAAAAGGAGAGATAAACAATGAGCTTGCTCTGCCCTTGCTCTATGCCAGCCAGGTAGTCCCAGTGCAGAAGTGCCGTTACTACAATGCCACGCTCCGGTTAATCCATCCAGCCGAGCGGCAGAGGGTGTGTGACAGCAGTGACAAGGTGTTCCGCTGGCCTTCAGGCACATCGCCGTGCCCACGATCAGCAGCACTGTGAAGCATCCTCAGCAATGCACCTCTGTACTTCTGGAGGGGAGCCACCTGTACCGGGTCTGCAATCCCTCACTCACAGCTCCACACGTCAACGCCACGGCAATCACCTCATCTGCTCGTAGGTGTGAGCTGTGCGGCACAGCATGTGCGAGAAGGGTGTCGAAAGTTTCCATGCCGTTCTGTTTAGGATTTTGGGCACACCTCCCAGAGCCCTTGGCACTCACAAAAAAGCATCACATCCAACATGGAACAGAAAGGCAGCCCAGAGCCTAATTAGCTTCTTGTTCATTCTTGCACCATGTTTTATTTGAAGCTGAGAAGGAGTAATTGTATAGCAGCCAACTGGCTAGAGACCATAACAAGCTTAAACAAGGTTCCCCACAGTGCTGCCAGTCCTCCAGTTACCTGATGTACATAATATACTGGCTCTACTCCGACTGCTAAGAACCCCCGCCTAGAAATCAGTAAAACTAAACATCTTTCTGAGTGTTTCCAAATATGGTCACAATATCTACATTTCCAAATGGTGGCAATTTTTCCATTGAGGTTGCACTTCCTTCAGTTGCTGAGTTGCCCCAAAGCTAAAATAGTTGGTTTTCATCCATATAAAGCTCCTCTCCAATCTCCAAAACTCACCACGCTCTTTCTGTCCCTCTGGTAGTCTGATATGTCCAGGACACACGTTACAGACTGTGCTTTTGGCCAGAGTGTTTATTCTGTTTCTGCATCACCTACTTCAGATCAAGTCTCTTTCAAAGAAAAATATCCATATAAAACACTTTGCTTGAAGGATGTGTTTCCTAGAAAACTCTTTAGTTGTCAAAGGCATGCACAAAACTTCATGAATATTACTTAACTCTGCAAGGGGCTTCACAGGAACATGTATCAGCCAACATGATCTGGTTCATCTAAAAACCAGGAAAAGGATTCCGAGTGAGGAGAGGAAGCAACACAGTTTTTTGCTTGTTTTGAGCAGTCCAAGCTCAAAAAAGGCAGTGCTGGGACAGGCTGTGTCCTGGAATAGGAGTACTGCCTGGGGTACCACCTGAAGGTACTACCTAGTGATTTCTTATTATAAAACATAGGTCTCATTGAGTGCTTGGTGGCTAAGAGCTCACCTAGTTGGCTAACTATTACCTTTCATTAAAGTTAGTGCTGTCATGGATGGGTCTCACTTCTCTCTTCCTCTCAGCCACTCATTCACTCCGTCCCAGTCTCCAGAACTGCATTTTGCATTTATTACCTGAAGCACTCTGTCATATGGCTTGAGGCCACACTGATCTGCTGGCCCATCCGGACGGACCATATTTACATAGACACCTTTTTCTAGCAGGCCATCCGACAAACTGAATCCGAAATCTTCCCTCTCCGGGTCTTTGTGGAGTGTCATCTGGAGAGGCAGAAACAGACAAAGCATGTTTTAATGCAGCAGAGTAAGGAGGTGATGTGCAGGGTTGGCAGGTTGGCAGTAGAACAGGTAATGCATGCAGACCTACAGAAATTCTGCTCTGTGTCTCCTGGGCAGATTTTTCTTAGCCTGTGCAGTTAACACAGATTGAGCCTTATTTACCTGACACCATCACCTCAGGTAGATCACATGGCAAATTTCTTTGGTGACTGGCATAAAACCAACCCCACGACAGTCCCTCACCCTTGGATGCGGAAGGAAACACAAGCAGGGTAATACAGACATCTGCTGTTTCACCCAAAGAGCAACAAACAAGTGTTATTAATGGAGCATCTCCTTCCCTGGCCAGGGTACACCATGTACCCTCCGTGTGTGCCAGACCACCACACGAAAAATTAACATGTTCTCAGGGAAATTTCAATGTAGTGAGTGAAATGTGAAAGCAGCTCATTTTTAATACATCACTCAGCAGGAGCATCTCAAATTCTGCATATTATTCACAAGTTCTTTTCAGAAAACTCATATCGATAAGTGCTGACGTACTGAGGACAAGAAATGCGTAACCTCATTGCCCTTCCCTTGAGCACATCACACTTTGGCCTTGTCTAGAGGAGGAGAGCACTGCTTGAACTGTGCCTTGCCATGAGGTAACACTGGGAACCAGGGACAACTGATTCTCCAACACTACCAAAATCTCCCTTTGCCTCTCATGAACTGGGAGTGCATCTCTACTGTGGCTCTAACTCCATAACTGTGCTCTTGGCTGGGTAAGCCTCATGGATGTGCAGTCCTTGGGAAGGACAATGCTCAGGATGACACACAGGAGCAGCCCACCTGGCCTCAACCTCGTTTCCAAACAGCCAACACCAGATGCTCCAGCAGAATGAAGAGTCACCCTATAACATGCCTAGTTACACAGCTCTCCTCCTTCAGGTACGAAGGAGTTTTATTTAAATACACATTTGCCATGCCCTGAAGGGCAAAAGCAGATCAACCACGAAAAGGTTGTTTTTTCCATCTACCATAACTGCAGGTTTTATTCTAAAGTCACACTAGGAAAGAAAAAGACAATCAAATTCTTGAAAACTCTCCAGCTCCCTTCCCTGCTTGCATTCTGCATCAGCAGGTTCAACAGTTAATTACCTCTTCTAATTACTGCTGCCTCACACCATGCTTAAACTGGCTACATTCATCCGGATGCTGAATTCAAACCAGTATCCCACCATTGAAGTCCTACCGCTGTCACCCCTACAGGAAACACTGGAGGTGGAGTGGAAGGGGAGGGGAAATAAGTTATTTTTTATATGGGAAGTGGCCTACTGAATGGAGTGTGCTTCAGGAAAAGGGCTGATGTATCTCCACAGGGACACACTTTGAGCTCTTTCATTTTTATCTGTAGTACCAATTAATGAATTCCAGAACACAAGGATCTGGAAATCTTATATATTAAGAGAAACAGCAAAGCACAGGTTTGAACCCTGTTGAATGATGGCAACTAAATCCTGTTACTCTTCTGAAGAGTCCCTTTCATCTTAATCTGACCCTCTGGAAACCTTTGCTCTGACCTTGGTGAGGGCCAGCTTTAACAAGGAACATTTTCCCGGGATCCCTCTGAACAGAGAAGATTTTTTACAGGGTTGTAAAGCTTCTACAGCCTTAACCATCAAGGTACTGCAGTGCTAGAGCTAGACTGACCCCTGGCAACACAAACCTTGTGAAACTCAAGGGGAGTCGGGGACATGATTTCCTGCATCTCCTTCTCGATCTTCTTCATGTCCAGGTTCCTCTCGTTCTTCTTGGCAGGGGAGCTGCTGCCCTCAGTCTGTCCGTCGCTACAGCTGGAGTTCGCTTTCCTCAATGGGCTCATTCCCGATGGGTTGACAGAGTCCAGGAGCAGTTTGCTGCCCTCCAAGCCCAGGTTGTGCACACTCCCTGTCATGATGGATGCCTGTAGGGAGAGGGCATCATGCCACTCTGCTGAGCCAGCAGCAGGAGGGACCACGCAGCAACTAAAGCGGCACAGACAACAACAGCGCGGTACCATTGCTCTCATTAATCGGAAAATAACTACCAAAAATCTCTTCCTATTAGCTGTAAGAGCCATTCCCAGACCTCACGAGCCTGCTTCCAGGTCTATAGCTGACCCACTCTGTGCTCTCCATCCCCACCCCAACAGGGAGCTTTGTCTCAGAAGGAAGCACTTGTGAAGCATCTCGTTATTTTTTAATGAACAGGACCAGACAGACCTCATATTGTGCAGGAACCATCTCGACAGTCAAGAAGGATGAATATCCCAGTCTCAGGGAGCTCCCAGAGGAACCACAGTCTGCCTGGCTCTCCAGCCTACCCCTGCAGGCTGTAGGTCCCCACCAGTATCACACAGTGCTGGCAATGGCCCAGGGAAGTCAATACCTCGGACTCCACTGAGGCCAATTCAGCAGAGAAATGAGGATTTTATCTGTCAGTAAATGGGAGCTGTCACTGAGCAAAACTGAGTTAAAAATATGAAATTAAGTAGTATTTAAGCTTGGTCATCCTTGATAGAATCCATTAAAAGATGCCCCTAAGTAGCTTCGATTCCATTTGGCAATGCTTTTCACTAATGAGATTACATTGATCAAAGCTAACGAAGGAGTCAAGAATCCAGTCTGTGGAACCTCAGCTGGCTCCAGGTCACAGAGTCCATTTAAACAGCGTAATGAAAACTGTAATTTCAAAGTTTAGTCTTCAAGGGTCTGCAGTCCCATTAAATGTCAAAAGGTAGAAGAAAGGAAATGAAAGGTAGGGAGCAGATAGCAAAATTCTCCAACGCTGACCATGGCAAGTCAAAGAGCAATTTCTCCTGTGCACAGGGGAAATATCACACAACTGAGTCTCTAATCAAGACCCTCCAGCTCTTTGCTTCAAGCTGGAGCAAAGGCGAATAAAGTGACTTATGGTGGCAGTAGGAAAATGCCAGCACTACCCACGTTATCCCAAAATGGGATGGATAAAACACAGAAAATCTTTCAGCTTTGCACTTTTCAGGTTTGGGCAAAACTCAAACACCTGTTACGTGCTGGAAGGACACTGACTTACCACACACTTGAAAGGTAGATTAACAAACAGCAGTACAGCCAACTGTACATTGGGTACGTTTGTTCACTGACCTCAGGCAGCCTCAACACTCCCAGGGTGTTGTGCTGTGCTGTACCAGCACCAGCACTGCAGAGCCAGGGAGAGCAGAAAGGTCTGTGCACGCTGTGCTGCTGCCCTCCCTCATCGCTGCAAATACCGTAACCAACCAGCACCCAACAGCGTTTGACTCCTTCTCTATCTTCAAGGTACTTAAATCCTTCCTGCAGCATCATAAGCAATGTCCCAGGTGCTTTGGGTTTAATGCAAGCAGCAGAAAGGGCAATTTCAAACTTCTCCAGGCTTGGCTGCCCCACATTGTTTTTCCCATGTCTTGGCTGCCCTCAAAGCAAAGCAGGGACACACGCTCCACTAGACATACCAGAAAAAGCCTGTTTCTACCCATACCCATACTCTGGAAGTGGATTGCTACTATGTGTGAACCTGTTTCCAGGCTACCTTGGGTCACCTTGCAGGACTCTTTTTTTCTTTTCAAATGTGAAGCATGAAGGGTCAAAATAAAATAAAATTTAAAAGAAAGAATGAAATAAAATCAAATCTGTGACTGTCTAAAATCACAGGAGGCTGAGAGCTGGGGCTGAGAAACCTGCAATACAGCAAAAACCCCAATGAGCACTGCACATCCCACAGCATGCCTCAGGAAGGCTGGGCACATGGAAAGGGAGGAACGGATCAGTGGCAATTTGGATTTGATAAAAGGGGAGTTGAACCCATCAGACTCCCGCTAAAAACACAGCACTTCCCTTCTGTCCCCAGAACTTTCAAAATACTCTAGAAGTGTGCTAAATACACCAAAACCCTGGAGGTGCTCAGCTTTCAGTAAAATTCCTTTATATGTTTAAAAGCATTGCTACAACTGTCAAAGCTCCAAAGCCTTAAAACAGCAACTGCATCACAGATGCCTGGAAAAGGAAAGGGAGTCCACAAAATCCCTTCTTTTGCATCACAGAAAGGAGTACTTCCTCTTAAGCAGTCAATAACTGTTCAGAAAATTTGTTAGTGGCTGCCTAAGCTCATTTCTAAATACATTCAGGTCCAGGAAATAAGTGATCAAGGGAAAAAGTTATAGTTTGGGGAGGTTGGGGATTTGGGATTTTGTGTGATTTGCTTTCTTTTTAAGTCAGCATTTTCTTAAGTGTCTACGATAATAAAAACAGCATTTCATGCTTCAGCACAATAAATTTAATTGAGATTTCCTCATCCACTTACAGTTGCTAAGGATCAAGGAGGAAAGGACAATTAGTAAGTCCCTTGTCACCATACAGGCCAAAACAGGACTTTCCTTTTCGACCTTCAATTAGTCAGAAATTGCCTTTTTTTCACTGAAGTCTCAGCAATATGCAACTGTGCATAAAACCAGTCCCACTGGGAATGATGGAGAGCACGATCCAGGGAGCTCTTCTGAGTCCTCTGCACCCGGAAGACAGGGGGAGGAATGGGCTCGTGGGGTCCTGCTCCTCCTGAGGAGGGGAGCAGCACAGGCTCCATCCTGCTAGGCAGGTCTCACAGTCTCAAGGGAGGCCTTTATTTGCATCCCATGACTTAGAAATCCAGGCTCCTCATCCTATAACCGGACACAATAACATGACCTCCAAAGCATTTTGGATAAAGAAAAGAGAAAGTGGTTTGTGAAGAGAGGAAACACCTTTATTTCTGCAGGAAGCAATTACTTTCTCAGATTTTTCCATGGGGAAAGCTGGCTGAAAAGCTTCCAATTACCTATTTCACTAAAACAGTTTCCGGCAGAGTGACAGCTGAATGCAAGATATATGTTGTGCCTGTCTGTACTTGAAGCAAGCCAAGGCTTCAGTCCCAATGGGGGCTTGGGGGACTCCTTTCGCTTGGCCTTCAAGTGCTTTGGACAGGCAGCATCTTTCCAAGCAGAGAGTTTACTGTTGGATAGGAAAGACTTGCCAACAGTCATGTGAATATTATTGGCCAGCAACAGTTCGTGAAAAGAGCATGGAATTCCTTGTGTGTAAGACATCGGCTCAGGGGAAGAGCGCACGCAAGCAACTGTCTAATGAGACACAGTTATCCATTAGCACAAACACTGACATGAATTAAACCCAAACCCTTCTTCACACCACTGGCAGCACAGGGATGCTACAGGCAATTAACAGATCTGGGGAAACGGTCTAACATTCATGGAAAGAGCAACAGTCAGATCAGCAGCAAATTCAGAAAGTGATTTACCTCAATCTCCCTCAAAAGTTCAGACTGGCCGCATGTTTCCAAATCCTCCAAAGCTTCTCCAAAAACACGCCAAAAATTATCCTCGTGAGTGGTCTCAAGGCCATTTTGGCGGTTGGGGTATCTGTTGTAACGTAGGAACCAAACATTGTCAGCACTCTTCTGCAGCGGGATGAAAGCCGCAAGGCTACAGCAAGTGTCTCACCAGTAAAAGCAGACTTGAAGAGTCTTCATATACAAAAGCAAACAATATGAACTTTTCAAACAAGAGT